TTTTTCTGAATGGAGTCTTGCTCTGTCACCCAAGCTGGAGTGCAGTGGCACGATCTCAGCTCACTGCAACCTCTGCCACCGGGTTCAAGCAATTCTCCTGCCTCAGGCTCCTAAGTAGCTGTGATTACAGACATGTGCCACCATGCACGACCAATTTTTGTATTTTTAGTAGAGACAGAGTTTCACCGTGTTAGCCAGGCTGGTCTCAAACGCCTGACCTCATGATTCACCCACCTCAGCATCTCAAAGTGCTGGGATTACAGATGTGAGCCACTGTGACCGGCCAATGGTCCCTGCCTCTTAGGGATATTGTGAAGATTCAATGGGGCAGGGCTGGGCACGCAGAAGTGCCCCCTAGTGCTACCTGCCAACATGCCCCACATGGTGTTAACCTGGCCCAGGCATGAGGCAAAGGGCACCAGGGATGCCATCTCTGCAGATGCCTCTGGCTGCCAGGTGGCCCGGTTCTCACCTGCTCACAGAGGAGCTGCAGGCAGTAGGGATGGCTGAAGTTCTCCCGTGGGTAGAATACCTGGAGGAGGCACAGAAGAGGCACGATCATTGGCTCTGGTGCCTCTGCCCAACCAGCCTCTGCCCTCCCAGGCCTGGAAAACCAGCCTTGAGATGGTGAGCTGTGGGAACACCCACAGCCTGCCCCCTCTCTGCCAGCCCAAGGAGGCCAGGCCAAGGCCCCAGCCTCATGCCCACCTCCTTTCGTAGGAACAGCTTCCAGGGTGTGCCAGTGTAGGAGAAGCACACGCTGCCAGAGGGCTCAAGGAGCTGGGTGGAGAGCCCCTGGTCCTCCATGGGCTGTGTTGAGCCTGGCAGAGAGGAGCGGGCGAGGGGCCTCAGTGAGGGGCTGCAGAGCCAGATGGGGGCACAGGAGGGAAGACCTTCGTCCCCAAGAGCCCTCCCAGGGCCTGGCTCCTCCAGCCTCCAGCTGCCCCACCCTTTCCTTGGTACCATCTCCGCCTCCATTTCTGGCCGAAAACTCCCTGGCATCCCTGAGACTCGTGGGCCCTCTATGACTACGTCCGCTGGGGCCACTGACTTACTCACAGAGCTGTCAGGGACAACACCCTGTGTGCAATGCCACTAACTTTCTCGCAGAGCTGTCAGGTGTCAAGGACAACACCCTGTGTGTGACAGCCTCTCAATGACAGCCCCAAAGGCGCCGGGCCCTGCCCTGGGTGGGAATGCAGAAGCTGGGGCTCCCCACCCACAGAAGGCTCCAAAGTCCGGAAGGCCAAGCAGCTGACCTCAGCCATGCAGAAATGCCTTCAGCCCTGGGCACCAAGAGGCTGTGTGAACCCCGCCACTGCCCCCCATGAAGCCCACCGCACAGGGGAAGTGTGGTTCCTTACAATGATGCCCCACGGAAAGGGTCTCTGGGTCCTTGGGTGGAAGCAGTGGTGGTGCTGGTGGTGCTGGTGGAGGTGGGGGTGTCTGGGCAGTGGGCAGGTTCTGGCCAAACAGGTCCAGAAGGGGCCCCTGCTTTTCCTTGATGGAGCTTGAAGGCCCAGGCTGTAGCGGGACCTTGGGTCGAGGAGCCACAGCTGGTGGGGGGCCCTTCCCTGGGCCGGGGGACAGCATCTGCAGGGAAACAGAGAAAGCGCATGGGCTGAGTCACAGCACAAGGCCAAGTTCGCCTCAGAGAGCCTCACGTCCCCCAGGGCAGCAGCACACACCCTGGGGGGGACGGGCTGGGGTACTCACCAATGGGGACAAGTGGGCACCATTGATACCCAGCTTGGCCAGAGCCTCGTCCTTGGGGTCACTTTTCTTCAGGAAAGCTTTGGGAGGCCTTGCAGGAGAAATAAGAGGTCAGGAGGTCCATAGAGTAATTCCCTGAGGAGCGGGACAGCCCCAGCTACCTCCCCCAGGGGCACCTGGATGGCTGCACGGGCACAGGCACGGGGCCTGGGCGGCTCTGGTACATGCGGATGATGTTGCCAATTTCCCTGCTGGGCTGTGGCTGCTTGGGCTTGGGGTCTGAGCTGCGCACCACAGTCCCCCTGCCTTGGGCTGGCCCTTGGCTCCGGCCCTTGGTTGCTGCCTCCTTGGCTGGCTCAGCTTCAGCCTCTTTTGCAGCTTTGGCCCCACTTTGCTTCAGTGGCTTCTTCACGATGCAGGGAGGAGGAAGAGTGGATGGTGCTGACCAGGAAAATAGGAAAGATGGTTAAATGCTGTGCAGAGCCACAGGAGCCCCAGGCCCTGCCCAGCTCCCCACAACCTGTGCTCCTGTCCTCTTCTTGCTCCTCCTGCTCTTCCTCCTCCTCCGCTTCCTCCTGCTCCTCCCCGTGGGGGATCTGGATCTTGACTGGGGGCTTCATCGTCCTCACTGTGATCTGTGGCTGCCCTGCAAGTGTCAGATGCCTTCAAAGTTACCCACGCTGGCCCAGCTGGGCTCCTGGATGGGCCACACCAACTCTGGGGAACAGAGAATACCCCACCCTCCCTGGCCCAGGCTCAGGGCACTAGCCCCATTCCTGCGTGGGCCTGCCACCCCACACGCCCTCACCCATCTTCTGGAAATAGTTCCGTTTCTGCTGAAAGCTCTTGGGCTGACAGGGCCTGTCTTCAGCCTCCTCGGAGGTCTCCTGGCAGGAACAGAAGTGAGTGGCAGCCCAGCCAGACTGGGTGCCACACTCACCACATCCCTTGGGTCCCCAGGCCCAGGCCAGCAGCCTCTTCCCTGCGTCCACCTGCTCGCCCTGCCCATGTCCCCACCCCTGCAGCCTCCACTCCCACACCCCTTCCTGAGACCATGGTTGCCTCCTCACCCTTTGACTGCCACCCTCTGATTCCAGGGCATGCTGTGACTCCTCTGGAGGTGTGGGGGGCTTCTTGGGCTTGGAGATGATGGCTGAGGGTGGGGCCTTGGATGCAGCCTCGGAGGCCTGAGCCTGCCGCTGCTGCTGCTGCCGCCGGGTCTGCTGCTCCAGGGTCATCTGCTGGGCCTGATGCAGGAGAAGCAGCTAGTTCAGAGCATCGTCCCCTAGCTGCAGACCTGCTCTCCGCCAGGCAGCCCTAGGGCCCTGCCAGCACTCACCAGGATCAGCGCCTGCTGGTTGATGAAGTTCTGCTGCTGGATGGCCAGCTGCCCCACGTCCAGGCTGGGAAGCAGTGGCTGCACTGGCTGCGGTGGCACCACCATGGCTGTGAAGGTGGCAGGCGGCCAGAGCAGTGGGCATCATGGCGAGCCTTGATGCCTGCCGCCCACTGTGCACTCTGGACTCCTGGCAGGACCCTCCCTCCTCCAGCTCCAAAGCTGGTGGCTGCTCTCCTGAGAAGGGATCCTGGTGCCCCCAGCCCATCCTTACGTGGCATGGCGGGGACTGCGCCCATCGCTGGCATCATTGGCATGGGTGCAGGCACCATGCCTGGCTGGTATCCAGGCATCTGAATCATTCCTGGGTACGCTGTGGGAACACGCCCTCCCCATCAGTCCCTGCCTAGTCCTATGTGTCACCTCCCTCCAGCCCCAGGCACAGAGAAGAGCATCGGACACAGGGGTGCTGGCCAGGGCACCAGTTGCCACTGCCAGAGGAGTCCCAGGCCATGCCTGCCATGCTGCTGGGCCCTGAGGCCCTGGGTGAGGCATGAGCCCTGCACTCACCCACGGGGTAGCCCTGCTGTGTGGGCCCAATGGCGCCCCCTCCCTTCATGCGGCTGCTCAGAGTCCGGCTTTGTTCCAGATCCTGAAAGGACAATGGTCACAGGTCAGAGTGAGAGCCCTGAGAAAAATGGAAGGGGCAGCAGGCACCCCGGGAGGTGGGGGAGAGTTATGCGGGCTGCCCAGGACTCACGCTGTGGCCAGGGGAGATCACTGGCTGGAAGATGTCGTCCAGGAAGCTGTCCAGGCTCCCCGACCTCTGGGCTTCCCCTGTGGGGCGGGAAGAGGATTGGTGCTGTGGCCTGGGGCGTGGGGCTTCCCATGCTCTGCCAACCTCCATGTGCCCACTCCAGCCTTACCTGTGTGGCCCCTGCTGGGCAGTGTTGGGGCTGGACCTGGAGGGGGTGCTGGGGGCAGTGCAGGGGCCCGGATGCCAGGGGCAGGGGGGATGGCCTCGGTTCTGTAGGAAAGGGGATCTAGCTAAGGGGGTGGCCAAGGCTGGGGGGCACCCAGGCTGGGCCAAGGGGTAGAAGCTGCTGCGGGGGTCACCCCATGGGTGGAAGGGCTGGGCCTGCAGCAGCTCCTATAAACCCCTGGGTATGACAGGGTGGCTGTGGGGTTTCCCTGCAGGAGCAGACCAGGGAGATGGGTGCTGGGTGGCACCTACGAGCCGAGGGGAGCGATGGGGTAGCTGCGGGGACCAGCTGGGTCCCCCAGGTCCTCAGTTTGGCTGATCAGGTCCAGCACGAAGTCGCAGCCAGCCAAATCCTGCCATTCGTCCCTGGAGTGCAGTGACACCGACCAGCCCCGGGGAGGTGCCTCCAGGCCTCTGGGTGGGAGCCGGGAGGGGGGGCAGTCAGCAAGGCAGGCAGCCATCCAGAAGGGACAAGGATCCCAGGGCGGGGCAAGGACCCCCTGCCCAAGGATCCCCTGGGGGCAAGGGGGAGGGGGCTGGGGAAGGGAGGGTGGCCTTGGAACTGCCTGGACTGGGACCCAGGTTTGCTCAGCAGCCAGGCCTGCTCCCCTTCACGCCTCACGGCCCTCCGTTTCCACAAGGGCTCCAGCATGGGCATTTATTTTCTGAGCTACTGAGTTAGAATCTGGGCTTTGAGAGCTCCCACGCCGCTCATTCCTAATCTGCTCCCTGGTCCTCATCGCCAGCTGCAGTCTGGCCTCTGCCCACCCCAGGGCACCTCCCCGCCGCCCCCGCCCCCGCCCCTGCCTCTGAGATTGGGCTTGGAAGAGGAGGAGGAGGAGGAGGAGGAGGAGGAGGGTACAGGGCAATGGTCACTCTGGCCACACTGTTTCCCATCCTGGGTGCCCACACCTGCTCTGCAGGATCCACCCGGCCAGCTGCTCCCCGGTGGTCCAGGACTCCACCTCGGCTGAGTAGCACTCCTCTGCAGGTGTGCAGGGGGCGGGGGCAAGAGTGAGGGACAGCAGGGCCCACCCTGATGCAAAGGGGCTGCTGTCCCCGTGAGAGCTTCAAAAGCAGGACAGAGGGAGGGAGATCAGGGTCACTGAGTACAGGGCGGCAGGAGGGGGTTCCAGGGAGGGCAGGGGGTGGGCTGGCCCCACTTCAGGCCTGGGAGCCCTCACCACTGAAGGTAAACACGTCCAGTGTCATGCGGCCCCGCCGCCATCCAGCCAGCCACTCCAGCTGGGTCGGGGGGTGGGCCCGAGTGGCCCCGGGGGTCAGCTGCGACTGCTCCAAGGCCCCCAGGAGCTTGTGCTGGCACAGTGCCGCCATGCCCCTGGGGGCCTGGTCGGACACAAACCTGCAGGACGGCACAGGCGGCGGTAGCGGCGGGAGATCCAGTGGCCCCACCCACCAGGTCCCCATCTCCCAGGCCCCTTACTTGAGCAGAGGCTTCTGCAGGACAGGCAGTGGGGGAAAGGCACTGAGCAGGACAGCCATGAGGGCCCAGCCACGCTGGTTCTGCTGCTCGTCCTGGTTCTTCCACAGCTGGGCCACCAGCTGGCTGAAGAGCTCATTCCGCAGCCCTGGCCGGCGCTGCCCCTGCCGCACCAGGTACGTGCACATGGTCTGCCTCTGCCAGGATTCCAGGGATCCATCCCCCAGGAGCCGTAGAATCTGCCAACAGTCAGGTGAGGGCAGGAGGTGCAAGGCTCCCAGGCACCTGTCCCATGCCTTCGAGGGCCCATCCTGTCCGTTCTCCAATGTGTCACTCACCACTCTGTTGATGTCCAGGGCATGCTGAGGGTTCTCTCCGTCCAGCTGGGTTAGGGGCTTGGACAGTGGCTGCCCTGGCATAGGCAGGGACGGCTCCTGCAAGGAAGGAGGCCCCAGTCCACGCTGGCCAGCTGTCACACAGTGCCAGGGAGCTCCACTGGAGCAGGCACCTCGGGAGAGGCAGAGGACTGGGCAGAAATGCATCTTAATGCTCTTTTTTTTCTGAGGCGGAGTCTTGCTCTGTTGCCCCGAATGGAATGCAGTGGCACAATCTCAGCTCACTGCAGCCTCCACCTCCCAGGCAGGTTCAAGTGATTCTTCTGTCTTAGTCTCCTGAGTAGCTGGGATTACAGGCACCTGCCACCACGCCTGGCTAATTTTTTTATTTTTAGTAGAAACAGAGATTCACCTGTTGGCCAGGCAGATCTCAAACTCTTGACCTCAGGTGATCCACCCACCTTGGCCTCCCACAGTTCTGGGATTACAAGCGTGAGCCACCATGCCCAGCCTATCTGTGCAGTTTTGAATCCTGCATTTGTATTTACTGCTGTAACCTGGCCAGTTTCCCTTGTCAACAAACTCTTTAAAGACCTGACTTCAAAAGCAGGGCACCAAGCTGGTACAATAAAGGCGTGGCATTGTGGATCTAAATAACTTCCCTCATTCAATAACACCAATTGTTATCACCAACACTCTATGGTGAGACATTTACATTCAACGGTTATTTTCAGAGCAATTCAGCATCATTCATAGCCCCAAAGACGGGAGGGAGGGGGGAAACACAGCTTCTGCCAGGCAGGTGCCAACTCAGAACAGTGAGGCCAATGGGAAGAGCCTAGGCCCAGGCACCCACCTGAAAGGCAATGGAGACGAAGCTGGAGAAAGGGAACCGGTCGATGTCTGGTGGGAGACTCAGGTTGGGCCGGGCGGGAACTTCAGGGGGCAGGGACTCGGTGATGCTCCCAGCTAGGGTGTCTTGATGGCCTGGGAACAAGCACCGGGAGGCAGCCCAGAAACACCCAAGTGTGGTACCTGGCCCTGGGACCACCTCCGCCCCTCGGCACAAGCCATCAGTCCCTGTCCACAGGGACCTGAGCATCAGAGGGAGGGGCCACAGGGGATAGGCCCACCCCATGGTCAAGGGACTGGAGAGGGGGTCCTAACAAGATGACACCAACAAGGCTTACCTTCTGCCATCCTCAGCATGACGGCCAGCTCAGCCGGGATCTCCAAGTGCCCCAGCTCCTGGCAGAGAGGACCCATTTACCCAAGACCCACAGGAGGGGGCTAGGGACCAGTGTCCCTCCCCATCCCTTCAACCCCAAGATTATAAACAACCCCTCCAAAGACCAGGGATTTTTTTGAGACGGTCTCCCTTTGTCACCCAGGCTAGAGTGCAGTGGTGCAATCACGGCTCACCGCAGCCTTGACCTCCTAGGCTCAAGCTAATGCCATCCTCCCACCTCAGCCTCCTGAGTAGCTGAGACTACAGGCATGTGCTACTGTGCCCAGCTAATTTTTATTGTTTTTTTGTAGAGATGGGGTCTTACCATGTTGCCCAGGGTTGTCTCAAATTCTTGGGCTCAAGCAATCCTCCCATCTTGCCCTCAAAGTGCTGGGATTATAAGGGTGAGCCACCATGCCCAGCCTAAGACCAAGGATTCTGACCCTGGACACTCAAACCAACAGAGCCCCAAGGACCCTCCAAGAGAAACCAAGAGCCAAGGGCACCCCAGTCCTCTTCTCAGGAGGTGCAATGCATGGCCCTGACGGACAGGACCCATAGCAGCACCCTGGCAGCCCCTAAGCCACGCCAGTCCCTGCAGGATCATAGCCCCATGTAGCACCCCCATGTTCCAGGCCACCTACCATGCTTGGCACTCTCTCCGAGGCCCTTCTGCTGCTGTGCCAGCCCCGCCAATGCCCAAGCTGCTGGAGGAGATGTAGGAAGAGCTGATGCCTCCAATGTGAGTCACCTGGGGGCACCTCCCCAGCTCTGAAGTTCAGCTGTCCCCTCCTGCCCCTGGGAGGTTCTAAGTAAAGGAGTGAGAACAGATCAGGAGGGGCCACCAGCCTCAGTGCTGTGGGCGTCCCTGCCCATCTGCCAGGGCACCGGGAAGAGGGCAGGAAGAAGGGAAGAAATGGTCCCAGGGGACAAAGTCCAGTCAGGGAGGGGCCAGAGAGGAGGTAGCACATGGGCGCTGACCTTTGAGCCGCTGTATGGACCTAAGATCAGAGTCATCAGGTAAAAGAGGGGAGCGAAAGGGGCCCAGGGGAGGTCTGAAAGGGAAGGGAACCCCAGGCAAGAGGGAGGAGCCAGGCCCTGGGGAGAGTGGGCAGGGATGGAGGAAGACAGCACCTCCCAGGGGCCCTGTCTACCCTGGCCAGAGGGAAAAGGGGCAAGATCAAGGAGCGCTGTCTCTAAAACCGCAGCCTTTTCGAGGCTGGGCCAACAGGGTAGATGCTGCTGGGATTTGGCCAGCTTGGCCAGCCCAGGCAGCCTGGCTTCTACCCTCCCCAAGCTCCTGCACCTGCAGTCTCTGCCGCCTCTGGAGCAGGGGCTGGGCCACCAGCAGGATGGTGTTTAGCTGTCCCAGGGCTGCCCGCCGCCGGAGGCACCGCTTCCTGGAGGCCGGGAGAGGGAGGGGTTGAAATAAGGAGTCCAAACTTCTGCTTCCTGACGGGCACTGGAATCCCCTAAGCCTGGACATTCATGTAAAAACTGATTCTGGACCAGGGAAGCCCTGGATGCTTCACAGAAACAACAGAGGAAGAACAGGACACTTCAAAAGAAGAACAAGGGTCGGCTGTGTTGGCTCACACCTGTGATCCCAGCACTTTGCGAGGCCGAGGCGGTGGATCACTTGAGATCAGGAGTTCAAGACCAGCCTGGGCGACATGGCAAAACTCTGTCTCTACTAAAAATACAAAAATTAGCTGGGCAAAGTGGCACGCACCTGTAATCCCAGCTCCTAAGGAGGCTGAGGTACGAGAATCTCTTGAATCCGGGAGGCAGAGGTTGCAGTGAGCCTAGATCTCACCATTGTACTCCAGCCTAGGCGACAGAGCAAGGCTCCATCTCAAAAAAAAAAAAAAAGGAAAAGAAAAAGAAAAAAAAAAACTGCTAAATTGAGAGACTGTTTAGGCTGAGGGACTAAGATCTGACTCTGGGCCTGGATTACCTGGGTTCAAATCATTCCTGCGTGCACACTGATAAAAAAAAAAAAAGTCATTTCCCTTAGCTGGGCATGGTAGCTCATGCCTGTAATCCCAGCACTCTAAGAGGCTGAAAAAGGAGAACTGCTTGAGGCCAGCTGTGCAAGACCAGACTGGGCAACACAGTGAGACCTCATCTCTACAAAAAAGATTTTTTAAATTAGCCAGGCATGATAGTGTGTCCTTGTGGTCCTAGCTACTTGGGAGGCTGAGGTAGGAGCTATGATTGGGGTCACTGCTCTTTAGCCTGGGTGACAAAGCGAGACCCTGTCTTGTTAACACACAGAAAAAGCAGCAAAACTTATTAAAAAGTAATATCGGGCCAGGTGTGGTGGCTCACGCCTGTAATTCTAATACTTTGGGAGGCCGAGGCAGGCAGATCACAAGGTCAAGAGATTGAGACCATCCTTGGCCGGGCGCGGTGGCTCAAGCCTGTAATCCCAGCACTTTGGGAGGCCGAGGCGGGTGGATCACGAGGTCAAGAGATCGAGACCATCCTGGTCAACATGGTGAAACCCCGTCTC